ATTCTAGATATAATAAGCTTCACTCTATTCTTAAGTATTTCATTTGAGATATCTTGATCAGAATTTTAATATAACTTACTCTATCTTTCAGATTTTAATAGTTTTATAGTTTCTTTAACTATCTTCTAATCAGCTTTTTCAAAGTTAAACTGATTAGAGAGAAGAGAATTTTCATTCATTTATTTTTTACTCAGTTCAATATTAAATTGAATAATCTTATAATCTGATTCTGATATTTTATTTAAATTAATAAATCAGTTTATAAGTCTTTTTTTTATTAGATTTTATAATATAAAGATTAAATCTATAATAGATTTCTATTTTATATCTTTTCTAAAGAATGTTTATTAATCAGACTTGTTAATTAAATCTATTAAATACTTAAAGATTTATTTAATCAGATTATCAGCTTTTACTACTCTTTTATATTCTGAATTTCATCAGAGATGATGTATATTAAAATCTTCTATAATTATAGAGTTTCTTAATAAAGTTATATTCAGAAATTCTTTATTAATTATTTAAATATTATTATTTTTCTTTAATAATTTTTTATTATAGATATTTATAAGCTGTATAATATTAAACTTATTCTCTTTATCTATAATATTACTTATCAGAATATCAGAGTCAGATATAATATTAAATCTGAGATTAAATTAATATCTTAATCTCTTTCTTTTATAAATCATTACTCTTAACTTTATCTCAGACTTTTAAGATAAAAAGTAGTAGTAGCTTGAATAAGAAATAACATATTTTTACTCAGTATCAAAATTCAGTTTCTGAAGTAGTATAAAATTAACTTTTTATTCAAATACAATTTAAAGATAAGAATAAATATAATTTAAGTTTCTATTCATATTATTTTGAATAAATGTGATTTTTAAAGAGTTTTTAAACTTTTTTTATTATTTTTGTTATATATTTATACTAAAAGAGAGTAGAGTAGAATCTAATCACTATTATCAGATAATAGATTATAACTATTCTGAAAAGTAGAAATCTTAACTACTTATATTATATTTAGTTTATTATCAGAGTCATTTCTCAATTCTCTAATCTTAATAGAAGTTTAAGAATTCAAATTCTGTTTATATTTAGCTGAAGAATTGAAGTTTGAAGATTTAAATAGTTAAGAGTTTCTTCTTTTTAAGCTTATAGTTATAAGTTTACTGATTTAATTATTCTTTTCAGTTCTAGATTTACTTTAAACTTTATCTTTTCTTCAGTTCTTTTAAGTTCTTAAAGTAAATATACATTCTTTTAAACTAGATGTATATTTTTCTTTATAATTAGAGTATTTAAGTAGAGTGTATTAATATATTTTATCTCTTTTTAAACATATTTTATATTTATATTCACTAGTTTTATAATCTCTGATACAGAATGTACATTTTGAGTCTCTAAAATAAGAGATTATAAAGTATTTATATCTCTGATAGTTTTAATACTATATTTAAGCTTTGAGATTCATTCTTGAGTCTTTGTATTTATAAACTCTTATTTTCAAATCTGTTACTCTTACTTCAGAGATCTTTGACTGTTCAATTATCTTTATATATACTAGAACAGAGACATTTCTTCTACTTTGTCTGAACTCAATTGAATTTAGTTATATAGACTCTTTTCTCAGTTGAATAGAGTTATATTCTTCTAATTTATTTTTAAAAAGTGATATTTCTTCTTCACAGTCAAAAATTTCAACTGAAATATTATAAAGAATGAATTTATCTCACTTTTTATCTCTCTTAGATAGAATTATTATATTTAATAAAGATTCTACTACTAATTTTCAGATATTCTTATGTTGAATAAGAAATTTCATACTGAATTCAGATATTGTAGTCAGAATAATGAAGTTTTTAAAGAAGAATAACTTAATTAAAGCTATAATTAATTTTTAAACTTTAATATTAGTTATTAACTGAGAAAAGAACTGCTGATTAATTTTATTTCTAATTCTGAAAATGAGATTTGAGTTTAGCTTATTTCTTTATAAGATATTCTGATTTAAGACTTTGAGAATAAGTCTTCTATTTCTGAAGATTTGAAAGTTTTTCTCTTTTTATATTTTTTCTTTACTTTTCTATGAATAGAAGTATAAGTAGTATTCTTCTCAGTTTTCTTAGAATTCTAAACAGATTTTAAGATAGCAGATTTAGAGATAGCAGATTCAGCTGCTTAAATATATATTTTCTTCTGATTTAAAGAAGAAGAAGAAGTAGAAAAAGAAGAAGAGTAAAATAAAAAGTCAGTAATTATACTAGAAATTTTCAATGTTTTTTAAACTGTGTTTAAAATTCTAAGTTTAAACTTAATCATCTTCTGTAGTTATCTAGTCTGAGTATGAAGAATTAACAGAACTTTTTCATTCATCTCATTTAAATACTGTTTTTCAAGAATCTTACTTACTTTTTTAAGTTTCTGTATTTCAAGAACTTATTATTTCTCTATTTCTTCTTTCTTTCTTCTCTTCAGAATTTCAATCTCAGAAATAGTATTTGAGAAAGCATCTTTTTTCATATTAACTAAGTATATTTTTAAACTCATTATTCTTACTCAATAAAAAGTTGATCAGACTGTTTCAATTAAGATATATATTAAAATCTTTTAAAAAGTTGATCAGACTGTTTCAATTAAAAGATTTCTAAGTCTGTTTTCAATTGAAAAGTTGATCAGACTGTTTCAAAAGAAGAATAAGACTTTTATATATAAAATATCTGATTTTTTTCACACTAGTTCAGTAACTAGATTAGATTTTTAAAGAGAATTTAATAAACTAAAATTGATTTTTAAGATAAATTAATAAAATCTTTATAATCTCTTTCTTGAAATATAGTGAGAAAAAGTATAATATCAATTAATAGTAAATCAGATAATATGACAGTTTTTGAGAGAAAAACTGATAAAAAATAAATTAATTTTTTATAGAGAAATTAATTAAAATTATTCAATTTTATTCTAAATTATTCAATTCTTCTCACATAATAAGTATATAACTCAAATCAGTTAATAAAGAGTGTAAAAAAGAATTAAATATTAATAAAAGCTCTTTAGTCACTGAAAAAATAATTCTTATTTAAAAGAATATAAAATTATAATAGAAAATAACTCTATTTTTAATTCTTTATAAGAATATTGTATAAAATTCAGAGAAAAATATCTTACTTTTTTAAAAGAAGTAAAAAACTATTTCTATCAAGACTTTCTCTCTTCAGAGTCTTGATATTATAGAGAATATAAGTCTGTTTCTATATAATAATATAAATATTATCAGCAGAATGTAGAGAAACTGATTATTTATATTATAAAATAGAAGACTTTGTCAATGATTATATTAATATAGAATTAATTCTTAAATTCAATAGAAATCTAGTATTACTATTCTCAATCTCTTATAGAATCTATTGAATATTGAGATATTAAAACTAGATTTAATATATCTTACTATACAGAGATCAAAGACTCAGTCAGATCTTGAAGTATACTGAATTTATAATTATTAATATACTGTTAACTTATTCTGTTGACTCATTATTCACTGATTATATATTGAATTCTGTTACTCAGATATCTTTTTGTATTATTCTGCTAAGAATGAGTCAGATTGAGAGAAGTAAGACTTGATATTAATGTCTAGATACACTGAAGATAGACAGAATATTCACAGAGATTGCACTTCAGAAGTGTTCATTGATTATATATTATTATTATTATTATTCTTCAATTATAGATGTATGCAGTCAGAGACTATGACATCTACCTGAGAACTTTAGTTCTCAGGGTTTTTTCTATGTCTGTAAAGTTAACTATTATACATTCATCAATTTCAGACATGCAAAATCAGAAAATTCCAGCTCAGAATACAAAAACTGTTTACAAATTGCAGTGTTTTAACATCTTTTGATACTTTGAAACCATTTGACAATATCATGACAAAAGAAAAGAGAAAAAGAACACAGTCTCAAAGATAGACACATTAAATAGAGATGGCCAACGACCGCTCCACCACGAACTCGCTCGATTTTTCGAATAAGAACCCGCCGATAGATCCATCGAAAAGCCCTCGATCATACGAGCATTCTGACCCCATCGCCGACCGCATACCCTGTGTGGTGGTGGAGTTATCCAGCCAAACGTGAACCGGACGTTGTTCAAAACTCCTGTGTGGGAGTATCCCCCGTTCTCCCCTACCACACCACAACCCCGGGCCAAAGTGCCATACAAATTGTAAGGTGAAGAGACCTAGCCATATGCACCAATCTTCTCGATTTTGGAAGATCCCCGATCTGTAGTTGTGGAGATATCTGAGGAGCGACCTCCGCGAAAACCCTGTCCATCTTTGATGTTCCAAAACACCAACGCCAAGTCCCACCGTTGTACCGCCCTTCCTAATCTGGCCCATCCCCGGCAGAAAAATACAAAAAGATACCTCGGCGATAATATCAAGCACATAACCAACGGCCACTTCTGAAGTGCAACCTCCGCGGTCTGTCTTCAGTGTATCTGAACATCAACGCCAAGTCTCGCCCTCGTACCACCCCTCTCAATCTGGCCCATCCCCGACAGAAAAGTACAAAAAGATACCTCAGCAACTGTACTCAATACATAATCGGCAGACACAACAACTATAAAATCAGTATACCCCAAGGTCTGACTGAGCCTTTGATCCCTGCACAGTGAGATATATTAAATCTAGTTTTAATATCTCAATATTCAATAGATTCTGCAAGGGATTGAGAACAGCAACACTAGGTTTCTATTGAATTTGAGAATTAACTCTATATTGATATAATCATTGACAAAGTCTTCTATTTTGAGATATAAATAACCAGTTTCTCTACATCCCACTGGCAATATTTATATTATCATATAGAAACAGACTTATATTCTCTATAATATCAAGACCCTGAAGAGGGAAAGTCTTGATAGAGAGTATACAGTAGTGCATATCTTAGCAGTTTCTTTCTCTTTTCTTCTGCAGCAGTTAATGCAAAAAAAAGATTTTAGAAATAGTTTTTTACTTCTCTTAAAAAAGTAAGGTGTTTTTCTCTGGGTTTTACACAATATTCTTACAAAGAATTAAAAACAGAGTTGTTTTCTGTCATAATTTCATATTCTTTTAAGTAAGAATTACTTTTTCAGTGGCTGAAGAGCTTTCATTAATACTTAATTCTTTTTTACACTCTTTATTAACTGATTTGAGTTGCACACCTGTTGTGCAAGGAGAATTGAATAATTTAGAATAAAATTGAATAGTTTTAATCAATTTCTCTTCAAAAAATTGATTTATTTTTTGTCAGTTTTTCTCTCAAAAACTGTCATATTATCTGATTTACTATCAATTGATATCATACTTTTCCTCACTGTATCCCAAGAAAGAGATTGTAAAGATTTTATTGATTTATCTTAAAAATCAATTTTAGTTTGTTAGATTCTCTTCAAAAATCTAATCTAGTTACTGAACTAGTGTGAAAAAAATCAGGTGTTTTATACACAAAAGTCTGTGATTCTTCTTTTGAAATAGTCTGATCAACTTTTCAATTGAAAACAGACTTAGAAACCTCTTAATTGAAACAGTCTGACCAACTTTTCAATTCAAAAGAGTTTAATAAATATCTCAATTGAATTAGTCTGATCAACTTTTCATTGAGTAAGAACAATGAGTTCAAAAGTACACTCAGTTGATGTGGAAAAAGATGCTTTCTCAAATACTATTCCTGAGATTGAAATTCTGAAGAGAAGAAAGAAAGAAGAGATAGAGAAACAACAAGTTCTTGAAATACAGGAACTTGAAAAAGCAAGTAAAATTCTTGAAAAGCAGTGTCTGAGTGAGATGAATGAAGAAGTTCTGTTAATTCTTCATGCTCAGGCTAGACAACTACAGGAAGTGATCAAGTTCAAACTTGGAATTTCAAATACAGTTCAAAAAACTTTGAAAATTTCTAATACAATCACTGACTCTTCAGTTTGCTCTTCTTTCTTTTCTACTTCTTCTTCTTCTTCTTCTTTGAATTAGAAGAAAACATATGCTCAAGCAGCTGAATCTGCTGTCTCTAAACCTGCTGTCTCTAAATCTACTGTCTCAAAACCTGCTCAAAATTCTGAGAAAACTGAGAAGAATACTGCTCATGCCTCTATTCATAGAAAAGTGGAAAAGAAAATGCAAAAAGAGAAAAACTTTCAAATCTCCAGAAATAGAAGACTTATTCTCAAAGTCTCAAACCAGGACATTCTGCAAAGAAACAAGCTAAACTCAAATCTCATTTTCAGAATCAGAAATGAAATTAACCAGCAGTTCTTTTCTCAGTTAATGACTGATATTGAAGTTCAAAAACCAGTTATAGCTTCAATTGAATCATCATTCTTTGAAAACTCCATCATTCTGACTACAATACCTGAATTCAGTACTGAATTCCTTATTCAGAATGAGAATCTCTGAAAGTCAGCAGTAGAATCTTTGTTAAACACAACAATTCTATCTAAAAGAGATGAAAAGTGGGACAAATTCATTCTTCATGATATTTCAGTTGAAATTTTTGACTGTGAAGAAGGAATGCTACTTCTCAAAAATGAATTGAAAGAATACAACTCTATTCAACTGAGAAAGAAGCCTGTATAGCTAAATTCAATTGAGTTCAGACAAAGCAGGAGAAATGCCTCTGTTCTAGTATATACAAAAACACTTGAACAGTCAAAGATCTCTGAAGTAAGAGTAGCAGGTTTGAAAATGAGAGTTCATGAATACAAAGACTCAAGAATGAATCTCAAAGCTCAAACACAGTGTTCAAACTGTCAAAGATATGGACACTTTGCAATCTCATGTTTTAGAGACTCAAAATGTGCATTCTGTGCCAGAGATCACAAAACTAGTGAGCATAAATGTGAAACATGCTCAAAAAGAGATGAAATTTGTCAACACACTCTGCTTAAGTGCTCTAATTGCAAAGAAAAACATGCATCTAGCTCAAAAGAATGTATGTTTGCTTCTAGAACTCAAAAGAACTGGAGAAAAGATAAAGCTCAAAGTCAATCTAGAACTGAAGAGAAGAGTCAAGCCAGTAAACTCATAACTGCAAGCTCAAAAAGAAGAAACTCTCAACTGTCTAAGTCTTCAAACTCCAACTCTCCAGCTAAATGTAAACAGAACTTGAATCCTCAAACTCCTGTTAAGATTAGAGAATTGAGAAATGACTCTGGTGATAAACTAGATATAATGCAAGCAGTTAAGATTCCTACTTTTCAGAACAGTTATAATCTACTATCTGATGATAGTGATTAGATTCTACTCTACTCTCTTTTAGTATGAATATACAACAAAAACAACAAAAAAAGTTTAAAAACTCTTCAAAAATCACATTTATTCAAAATAATGTGAATAGAAACTCAAATTGTATTTATTCTTATCTTCAAATTGCATTTGAATAAAAAGTTGATTTTATACTGCTTCAGGAGCCGAATTTTGATGCTGAGCAAAAATATGTTATTTCTCATTCAAGCTACTACTGCTTTTTACCTCAAAAGTCTGAGATAAAGTCAAGAGTAGTGATCTATGAAAGAAAGAGATCAAGATATCAATTTAATCTAAGATTTGATATCATGTCTGACCCTGATATTCTGGTGAGTGATATTATAGATAAAGAAAATGAGTTTGATACTATACAGCTCATAAATATCTATAATGAAAAGTCATTGAAGAAAAATAACAATATCTGGACAATTGATAGAGGATTTCTGAACATAACTTCATCAAGAAACTCTATAATTGCAGGAGATTTCAATGCACATCATCCCTGATGGAATTCAGAATGCAAGAGAGCAGTGAGAGCTGATAATCTGATTGAATGGACCTTTGAGCATTCAATAGATTTGATTAATAAGTCTGATCAACAAACATTCTTTAGAAAAGGCATGAAACAGAAGTCTATTATAGATCTAACCTTCATGTCACAAAATCTAATGAAAAGAAGACTTGTAAACTGGTTTATTGATTTAAATGAGACATCAGGATCAGGTCATGAGATTATTCAATTTGATATTGAACTGAGTGAAAAACAAATGAGTGAAAATCCTCTTCTCTCTAATCAGTATAACTTTGAAAAAGCTGATTGAAAAGCAGTTAAAGAAAGCATAAAACTGCTAAAATCTGAAAGACAGAATGAGCTATATTGGAATTCTGGTCAAGATATCTCAAATGAAATGCTTGAGAATAGAGTGAAGCTTATTACATCTATTATTCTAACAAGTGTTAGAGATAATATTTCAAAAAGAAAATCTTCTGAGTATTCAAAACCTTGATGAAATGAGAATATCTCATCTAAAAGGAAAGAATTAGCTACTACTAGAAGAGATTGAAAAAATGATGTAATATCTGATGAAGAGTTCAAAGCTGTCAGAAATGAATATTTTTCAGATATTAAAAGAGCTAAAACAGACTGCTGGAATAAATTTCTTGAAGAAGCACAAGAAAAGGAAATTTTTAAAGCTTTTAACTATACTAGAACAAGAAGTGTAGCAAAACTTCCAGCCTTAAAATATGAGTTTCAGAATGAATCATATACAGCAAACTCTTTTGAGGAAAATGTCAAGCTTTCATGAGAATTCTCTTTCAGAACTTATCAGACTCAGATTCAGATTCAGAGGAAGAGAATATATCACTTCTCAACTACATTGATGAAAATGACTGGGAATGGCCTGATCTTACACAAGATGAATTAGAGTCAGCTATCTTCTCAAGTTCTGTTAAAACTGCTGCAGGTCCTGATTCAATTAATCACTTGATTATTCAAAATACATATTTCTACTTAAAGAATGAATATTTTGAGCTCTTTTTCAATCTCTTGAAAAATGAATATCATTCTGAATGCTGGAGAGAAGCCACTGAAGTGATTCTTGCAAAACCTAATAGAAAAACTTCAATTCCTAAGTCATATAGAGTAATATCTCTATTGAACTGTTTAGAAAAGGTTTTAGAAAAGATAATAGCTACTTGACTATCTTTTATAAGCTCTATAGATGATTCTCTTTTATTCAGTGAACAAATGAAAGATAGAAAACAGTGTTCTGCAATTGACACTGTTCTCTCAGTTGTTCATGATATTTAAATAGCAAAGCATGAGGGTCTGGTCTCAACTGCAGTTTTTATTGATATAAAGGAAGCATTTGATCATGTTTCAAAGTCAAAGTTAATTCAGACATTGAAGATATTAAAACTGTCACTTTCTCTAATAAAATGAGTTAACTGTTTTATGTCTAAAAGAATTATACAACTCTTCTTTGATGAAATGAAACAAGACAAGACTGAGATAAAAATAGGAGTATCACAGAGATCTTCAATCTCATTCATTTTATTTGCAATATACACTGCATATCTATTCAAAAATAGAAATATGAGAATAGTGTGATCTCTGAGTTATGTGGATGATATTGATCTAGTCTACAGCTCAAAAACTATTAAAGAGAATTTGAAAGTAATTGAAGAAGCTGCAAAGGAAATCTTTGTTAGAGCAGATATCAATCAAATTCAATTTAATATGAATAAAACTGAGTTAATTCATTTCTTTTCTAGACTCAATGAGAAAGAACTATCTCTAACTCTTTTAAATAGAGAGATTAAACCCAGTGTAAATGTCAAATGGTTAGAAGTATGGTTAAACTTCAAGTTGAATTTTAAATATCACATTCAACAAAGAACTGTCAAGGCAGAAAGACTATTAAACAACATAATCAGACTATCAAATACAGAGAGAGGTCTATTCTTTCAGGCTATGAGACAGTTATATATAGCCTGTATCACATCAGTAGCTGATTATGAAGTTCAAGTTTGGTGGAATAATCAAGGGAATTTCACTGAACTCTTTCAAAGTCTGCAAAACAGAGCCTTGAGAAGAATTCTGAGAGCATTCAAATCATCTTCTATTAAAGCAATGAAAATTGAAGCTTCAATTCCTTCTTCTGCTATTAGATTTGAAAAGACCTGTATGAACTATGCTCTGAGAGTTGTAAAGATGAGCTCAAATCATATAATCAGAGAAAGAGTCTCTTCTTCATTTCCATCAATTAACTCTGGAAATGAACTGAATTGGAATAGATTTCTTGATTGGAATGAAAATAATTCTTCAAAGAAAATGCCTTCTCAACTGTACAGACTATGCTCTCTGATTAAAAATCAATTTTCTTCTTTAAATGTTGAAAAAGTTGATCATGAGAAGTTATCTCTCTGGAGAGAAAAGCTTGAATCTCTTATAGACTTACAAATAAGTGAACTATCAAAAGAGAAAGAATATGAACAGCATTTGAAGAGAATTTCTACAATCAATATAAAAGACTCTATTCTGGTTTATTCAGATGACTCAAAAAATGAGAACTTGAATAGATTAGGCGCAGGCATTGCTTATACTGAAGATAATATTAATTTTATCTCAGATTTCTGAAATCTAGGCTCTGAATGTGAAGTCTTTGATGCTGAACTATTTGCAATAGTGAAAGCTTTCAAACTCATTGAAATAAAATCTCATAAAAGAGGAAATTGTTTGAAAGAGATATGAATATTCTCTGATAGTCAAGCTGCTTTAAAAAGACTTAGAAATAGTCAGATTCATAATGATCAAATGAATCTTGAACTGATCTTAAACTCTGTTTTGAAAATTCAAAAGAGAAGAACATCAAAGCTGATAATTCATCTACACTGAGTTCCTGCTCACATGAATATTCATGATAATGAATTGGCTGATTCAGCTGCAAAAAAGAGTGCAGAATTAAGCAGATCTATTCAAAAAATTGTGTCCTGGTCTTTTATAAAGAGAAAAATAAAAGAATCTTGTTTAGATAAGTGAAATGAAAGCTGGCAGAAACAAAAGAAGAGTATACATTATTCAAGATTTGAAACAAAACCCAAGTGGAAATCTTGTTCAATTAAATGTAAAAAGAAAATATTCTCATCTATAATACAGCTGAAACTAGGACATGACTATTTCAAATCTTATATACAAAGATTTGATGATGGATTTGACTCAATAGAATGCTCATTCTGCAATACAAATGAGAATTCTGAGTATATTGTAATGCACTGTGCATTATACAATAGTCTCAGAGCCAGATTGAAAGAGAAGTATGATCTAAATCAATTAAATATGAGATTCTTATTCTCAACTGAGACAGGAATTAAATACTTAATAGACTTTCTATCAGAAACTCAAGCAGCTACAAGAAAATGACTAAATTCAGAATTATCTGAGTATGAAGAGGAGGAAATAAATCAGATATAGTCTGTTAAAACAGCTATACACTCTCTTTTAATAATTTGTTTTGTTATAGTCTCTCTTTACTTTATCTTTTTCTTTATCTTTTTCTTTCAATTTCTTTCTATCTATTTATTTAATGTGTCTATCTTTGAGACTGTGTTCTTTTTCTCTTTTCTTTTGTCATGATATTGTCAAATGA